TTGTGATTCACAGAATCACCCAATCAAATAGTTTTTCCAGTTGCTATGAAGGTCGTAAGGATAAAGTGCTTGGTACAGAGCAACGCGTGTTAACGGATTGTCATTAGGACTGTCATTCATCTAATCTCACAGTTGTAAAAGTACTATTAAAAAATGAAATGTATACACTCCTATTTTCTCTGCATCTCATTTTGAGACATCATTTTCCAGACGCTTTTCTCTAAAAGGGATGGAAATTACACAGCCTCATGTACTTTGAAGGACTCCTTAATTCAGTGAGTAATCAGTTTCCATTTGTGCCCATCTTCCTAGTCAAATCTAAGCTCCAGTGTAGCAAGGATGTGTTAACATCGAGCCCAGAACCTGAGGCTTTGCCAATTAACACATTTTCGCCTAGATGAACAAGGCATAAAACAAAGCATTCTGGTAAGAGTATTCTGAAACAGAACTTTTATGGCTTTGGAAGTTAATGTGATTTCCTTCCTCTCTCGAAGTGGGGGACTATTATCTTCTAAACTAGGAAGAGAGTGAACGTTTGGTTTCTGGAAGCTATTTCTGCCAGCTCTTCCTTTGGACAATCACGCTAGCTGAACCTGTCCCCAGGAATCCTTGTAGTTACAACAGAGCTCTGGAAACCCAGTACTTTTCCAGGACCTCTTGTTCAGCAAAAGGAAAAGTACTCAGTCTCTCTAGATTATCTTCACCTGGGGCTCATTAGCCCTCACACTCTGACTCATGAAGGGAAGGAAATCTGAAAACTCATTTCACAGATGAGGCACTGGGCTCAGAAAACTAATTGATTTTCTAAGCCTACCACTTGTTTATAGATCTGGTGCAACTGAGAACATGAAGATTCTTATCCCCCCCCCCCTTATTCTCATTATAAACTTACTTTTACAAGGGGCTAAGATGTGGCTGGGTAGAAAACTCACCCGTTGTATGCCTGAAGCATTGGTGGGGTACTTGAGAACAGGGCAGGGGGTTATAAGAGAAATATTATTAATTTTGGAAGAATTTTCTGTTACATCAGTGGAAAAGATCTTGATATGTTAAGCAGCAGAAACAGAGTTGAATTTTGTAAATGACTAGAAAATATAAAAAATGTAGGGAGCTCAAGTACGTGTGTTTATCTTATTTATGTATGTAGTACTTTTTAAAAAATATGCCAAAAGATTGCACATTTATCTCTGGTTGTTTTATAGCTTATTTTATTTGTGTTCTTCTGTGTTACATTTTTTCTTAGCATGAATGTATGATCCCTTTTTAAATTCTTTACCTAATATTCTAGGAAGAATTTATTTTTTTACTGCTTCATTCTGCAAGGAGCATCATTACAGAGCTCCAAAAATGTCTTACTAGCCACTTAATCTTCCCTGCAAAATGGATGGAATTATTTCTACTTCACAGGACTCTTGTGTACATCCACAGCTTGATAACGGGTGTTAGGTGAGACTCTCGTGATGATCAAGTTCTTGGCCTAATAGAGGTGCAAGAGCCCTTATGATAAACTAGTGTCTTTGTGTTAGAAGTTTTGATTAAGAAGGAAAGAAATTTGTCAGGAGATTTGCATAAGAGATTATAGTAAGGTTGTGTAACTCTGAGACCACATAGAAAGCTTGGGAAATAGAAATCCCTCCCCCTCCCCCCAAAAAAAACCAACATGAAAATAGAAGAGGTTATAAATTTGAAGAACTGGGAAAATATTTTGTCTTCTATTTCTTTTCATACTATTTTATTTTTAATTTCATATATGTGGAACGTATTTACATTTTCCCCCTCCCTTCTTCCACCAACCCCTCCTGTGGCCATCCCCACGGCCAGGCTGCTCCCTCTCAAATTCATGGCCTCATTTTCTTTAGTTATTATTATTACATATACAAACAAGTAAATACATCAATACAACTTGCTGCATTTGTTTAAAGTTACTCATGTGTCTGTGTGTTTAGAGCTAACAGACAGGGACTGGCTGACCTACCGGCTCAATCCTGGAGAACACCCTGATTCATTGTTACTCTTCACCTAAGGGTAGAGCCTTGGGAGATTTCCCCCATAAACATTCACATGTCAGTTGATGCTGTCATTTTCCAGGTTTTGTTTGTCATGGGAACAACTTCCCTGTCGTATATAGAATACACTAACTTGCAGCAGGCTCCTGGTCCTTTGGCTGTTACGCTCTTTCCTTCCCCTCTTCCATGATCTTCCCTGAACCTTAGACAGGTGTACGGGTTTTGCTGTAAATGGGCAACCCATGCATCTTGACTTTTTTTTTTTACTACTTTGTAAACTACAAAAAAGTATTAATATTCCTAATAATAAAATTTGTTATTATGTGTTGGGGGGCTTAGGCTGTACCAAGCACATTATCTCTGTAGTCCTCATCAGAGTTGAAAATGATTCTCCAGTTGAATTGTTTTAAACAGTCCCATGATTAAGGGGTAGCAGAGCCCAATTAGAAGAGGGAAGTGAGGAGCTGGAGAGGTGGCTCGGCAGTTAAGAGCACTCATTACTCTTGCAGAGGACCAGATTGCAGCTCCCAGCACCCACAAGGAGCAGCTCACGACTGTCTGTAACACCAGCTCCAGAACATCTGACACTCTCGTCTGGCCTCCATCTACCCCACGTGCATATACACAGACAAATACACAAATAGGGTCCTAACAGAATCTAAAAACACACATGTCATCTAAAGAAAAGGTCAGTAGCTAGCAAGGAGGCTGGCCTAGAAAGGAAGACTTTGTTCAGTGGTTACAAAGCGACAGCTAGATGGGAGGAGCTAGCCTGGTGCCCCCCTGTCCAGCTAGCTCGTTACAGTTAACATTCTGACCACCTCAAAATCGCTAAGAGGAGGTTCTAAATATTTTCATTTCTACTAAGATATTGGATGTGGCAGATGTCTGTGACCTTAATGGAATCATTCCACATCCATACTGTGCCAAGTATACCCTCTAAATAATTATGATTTGTCAACTGGAAATAAAACCAGAGCTGTAGCAGACTGGCTGCTTGGCACTCAAGAGCCACCGAGTTTAATCCTCGGCATCAAAACAAAAAATGTAAAAATGAAACCTTAAAAATGTAACTTCAGGAGGTGGAAAGATAATTCTGTTAGAAAGTTGCTTGTCACACAACATGAGGGGTTGAATAAAATCTCCAGAACACAGATTTAAAAAAAAAAAAAAGCCTGGTGATATTTGCTTAGAATCCCAGTGCTGGGGAAGTGGAGACATGCCTCAAAAACAAACCAAAAACCAAAACAAGATGAATAGTTTATGCAAACTCATGCATGTACACGTGTACACACAAAATGTGACTTCAGAAGACATGATTATTTAATTAAATGTTGCACAGAGCTATGGTATAGTCACTTAAGGAATGAAAAATGCTAAAAAGAAAATGCCTACGGCTCTTTATTGGAATTGCCAAAAAGAGATCAAGTGTTCTTTAACCAGCTGGACAAACTGTGACTTACCCACATAATGGATTCTACTCATCTACAGGTGGATGGGCTATTGATACGTGAAACTTGGATGGAATTTAAGTATGCAGCATAAGCAGTGGCTGCTCCCAAACGGTGCATACTTGCTATTCATATGATATTCTGGAAAAGGAAACTACAGAGGAAAAGGAAGACGGTGGAACCACCCACTCCCAGTGCAGGTGGAGGTGGGGCCCAGGGTCTACAACTTACTAGGCAAGCTAGCTACATTGCCAGTTCAAAGGTGGAACTAATGTTTCCGGTGGTTGGCACATAAATATGCATCCATCGGAGCATATATTGCATGGTATAGCAGCGCACGCGTCTAATCCTGGAATCCAGAGTTCAAGGTTATTTTCAGCAGTTCAATGTGTTCAGTCTGTGCTACATGAGACCCAGTCTCAAAATGCAATGAAACTTATATAGCAATATAACACGAAAGTGAATTTTGATGCATACATTTAAGAAGTGAGGCATAAAAATAAAGCAATACTAGCAGATGGTGGATACAAATACCATGAGCGATTCAGTGGAAAAAAATCTCCCAGATCTTGTTGGGGAAAGAGTAAGATGTATGTCTTTACTATGGTGGTGGTGGTTACATAAATTTAGATACAACAAAATGATATGAGTTTAACACCAATGTCAGCTTCCTGCTTTTCATGTAAACCGTGGAAGGAACTGAGTGAAAAGTAGAGATACTTCTGTGTATTATTTTTTGTAACTTCTTGTTAACCTCTACATTAAGAAACATCCTGTCATTACATTTCTTGGGCATCATTCCCCGTTGAAACCTGATACTGGCATACACGAACATGTACATAAAAATTAATTCATGAATATCTTTTTAACAAAATACTGGTATATTACATCCTCGTTCTGAACCTTACATATACATTGGATCCTGCACAACCTTTTTCCTGGATGTATAGTACTCTGTTTCATAATCGTACCATCATGCTTTTCAATTCACTGATGAACATTGGTATCTTAACAAAAAGTTGGACTTAAATTTAATTTGGAAATTTTTACAATATGAAAGACCAAAATTTTTCACAGATTCAGGACCAGAATATCTTTTAATTAGAAGGAAGAAGACAAGTGGCAGAGGAGAAACGCTGGGTGGGAAATTTCCTGGGTCGAATGCACAGCAGAAGGCCTGCCGTTCAGATTTACTGCCGGGTAGAAGTTCGCATAAGGGTAGTGAGCAGAACGCAGGGAGGTTGATGGGGGGGAACTACTGAAGTAGGAGGCCGTGCTCCAAACCTGCCTTCCAGGGCTACAGCACAGATACACTTAGTGTGTCCAGGCTAGGCACTGTGTCAGTGTGTGCCCATCTCCAGCCTCCCGCAGGGGACCCCTCCCAGGCGGATTCCGATCACCCCTTTCTCTCCCCCCCCCCCAACGCACACTCCCCACCCCCGCCTCCAGCCCACGCGCTCAAGGGGAGCACACGTGGTGACCTGCCTGGGGCCGGATTCCGGCTCCAGCTCCTCCTCCTCCCTCCAGCTCGCACTCGGCTTGCTGCAGTATCACGTGCAATCGCGCCGGGTGCAGGATGGCGGCGGCGGCCGCGGCGGCAGCAGCGCTGGGTGTCAGGCTCCGGGACTGCTGCAGCCGGGGCGCCGTGCTCCTGCTCTTCTTCTCCCTGTCACCTCGGCCCCCATCCGCTGCTGCCTGGCTGCTGGGTCTGCGGCCCGAAGACACAGCTGGAGGCCGTGTATCCCTGGAGGGGGGCACCCTGCGCGCGGCCGAAGGCACCAGCTTCCTCCTGCGGGTCTACTTCCAGCCTGGGCCGGCGGTCCCCTCCGCGCCTGTGCCTGCACCCTCCCTGGCCCCGGGGGAGAACGGCACAGGCGATTGGGCCCCGCGGCTCGTGTTCATCGAGGAACCCCCCGGTGCGAGCGGCGTGGCGCCCAGCGCGGTCCCCACGCGTCCCCCGGGACCGCAGCGCTGCCGCGAGCAGAGCGACTGGGCGTCGGATGTGGAGGTCCTGGGGCCCTTGCGCCCCGGGGGCGTGGCGGGCTCGGCCCTGGTCCAGGTGCGGGTGCGGGAGCTGCGTAAGGGCGAGGCGGAGCGCGGTGGCGCGGGCGGCGGCGGGAAGCTCTTTTCGCTGTGCGCCTGGGACGGGCGCGCTTGGCACCACCACGGCGCCGCCGGCGGCTTCCTGCTGCGCGTCCGCCCGCGGCTCTACGGCCCGGGTGGGGACCTGCTGCCGCCCGCGTGGCTGCGAGCGCTCGGGGCGCTCCTGCTGCTGGCCCTGTCCGCTCTGTTCAGCGGCCTGCGCCTGAGCCTGCTCTCGCTGGACCCGGTGGAGTTACGGGTGCTGCGGAACAGTGGCTCGGCCGCCGAGCAGGAGCAGGCGCGCCGCGTGCAGGCCGTGCGCGGCAGGGGGACCCATCTGCTCTGCACCCTGCTCCTGGGCCAAGCCGGTGCCAATGCCGCGCTGGCCGGCTGGCTGTATGCCTCGCTGCCGCCGAGCGTCGGGGGCACCGGGGAGGACTATGGCGAGGCGGGGGTTCACTTCCCGTGGCTTCCAGCGCTCGTGTGCACCGGCGCGGTGTTCCTGGGAGCCGAGATCTGTCCCTACTCAGTGTGTTCACGGCACGGGTTGGCCATCGCCTCGCACAGTGTGTGCCTGACCCGGCTCCTCATGGCTGCTGCCTTTCCGGTGTGCTACCCGCTGGGCCGCCTCCTGGACTGGGCGCTACGCCAGGAGATCAGCACCTTCTACACGAGGGAGAAACTGCTGGAGACTCTGCGGGCCGCGGACCCTTACAGCGACCTGGTGAAGGAAGAGCTCAACATTATCCAGGGCGCCCTGGAGCTGCGCACTAAGGTGGTAGAGGAGGTGCTGACCCCCCTTGGGGACTGCTTCATGCTGCGCTCCGACGCTGTCCTTGACTTCGCCACAGTATCCGAGATCCTCCGCAGTGGCTACACTCGCATCCCTGTGTATGAAGGCGACCAGAGGCACAATATTGTGGACATTCTGTTCGTTAAAGACTTGGCCTTTGTGGACCCGGACGACTGTACCCCGCTGCTCACAGTCACCCGCTTCTACAACCGGCCCCTGCACTGCGTCTTCAATGATACCCGGCTGGACACGGTGCTGGAGGAGTTTAAGAAGGGTGAGCAGTGGTATTTATCCTTCCCTGGCTCCTATCCCCCTTCAAAGATACTGTCTTTCATAACCATGAGAGGCTTCAGGTACCCAAAGCAAAGCCTCTGATCTATGGAGCCAGAAACTCCATCAAGGTCTGCTATTGGCTCCCTAGATATCACATGCTTCTCGACCTTCCTTGCAGCTGGCTGAGCCCCAGGCCTCTTCCACTCTTCTTGGCTCACCAGCTAAACCATATTCCTCATCCATTTTCTCCCAACTATAATTCTTTCTGCGGTCTACTAAGCACCAGGTACTGTGAGGTTGAGCCCAGGTGAGCCGTGGGAGTTTATTGCAACCTCCCCACCCACTACAGGGCTCCCTCTATAGAATCCCACAGCCTTTGCCTCAGACTCCTAAAACTGGAAGTTCCCAGTTTCCAAAGAGAATGAACTCCATTGCTGGACAGCTCCAGCTCTGACAGTGTCTGCCATACCGGGAGCAGAAGCGCTGGTCTCTTTCGAGAGCCTCCCAGTTCTGCCCTTTGAGTGAGGGAGAAGAAACACCAGGCTCCTTAGAGGTTCTTCTCCCTCTTTAACTCACTAGCAGCCTGACACACAGAATAACCAGGTTAGGGACTGAGAGTTAGTTAGGTCTTGGCACTTCCAGGAGCTCTACCTCTTCATAGTAGCGAGGTAGGTAGGGACTTAAGAAAGTATTTATTCGGAGGGAAGACCCGAGAAAATTTTCACCCAAATTAATGGGTTTCTTTCAACACCATCAGTATCTTCCCCATACCTCCTAACCTCAAACTGGGGTGCTATAGCAAGCTATATGACCGTTGACTGCATGTGTGGGTTTGTCTTTGGAGATTGCCTTCTGGGCCTGAGTACAAATTCACTCAAAAAATCAACCTGGATACTTTAGAGTTAGCCCTCTTGGCCTTGTGTTTGCCCTGCCCCTTGTTTACCAGATCTGGCCCAGAACTACCCCTAGTTTTTGTTTTTAATCAAGTCTACTTTGAGGGGTCACCATTGAAAATATTCAAAACACAGTCTCATGTTTCCCTGTCTCCCTCACCATTGGCTGAGCCCCAGGCCTCTTCCACTCCGCTCAGCTCACTGGTTGCCATATTCTGATTCATTGTCTCCCACTTGTGGTTTTTCCTTGAGGCTTACCAAGGCTTAAGTTTCTTCTGGGAGCAACTCCAGTTCGTTTGTCTGGAGACAATTGACAAGTGTCTCATTGTCATGTAGTGCCAGAAGTATTTTTATTATTTTTTCTGATTATTTTATATAATGCATTATGATCATATTCACCATCATTCTTCCTCGTGACTCCCTCTGGATCCACCCCACCTACCCACTCTCTCAGCATCTTGTTCTCTTTTTCCCCATATCCACAAGAGTATGGTCAACCTACCAGGGGCTACACCCTGAAAGAACACTGCTACTTCCTGCCCCCCAAAGCTTCAACTGCCTATAGCTCCTCAGGTAAAGGTGGGGACTTTTATAAGCCCCTCCCCATCTAAGCTTAAGTGTTGACTGGCTTGATCTTATGCAGATCTTACGCAGGCAACCACAGCTGCTGGGAGCTCAGAGGTCCTGTCGTGTCCAGAAGACAGTTTCGCTCTGGTCCTCCCCAACTCCTAGGTTTTACAGTGTGTCTGTCCCCTCTTCTGTGATGGTCCTTGCACTTTAGGGCAGGTGATACAGATATCCCATTTATGGCTGAGCACTCCACTAATACTTACTCTCTGTGCTTTGACCAGTTGTAAGTTTCTGTATTAACCACCATCTATAGTACAAAGAGACTTCTCTGATAAGGTCTGAGAACTACGCTAATCTATGAGTAGAGATACAAATTTAGAGGGCAGTTTGATACTAAGTCTATTTAGCAGAAGAATTGAATTCATGGTAGGTCTTCTCTCCCCCACCGGGGCCTGCAAGCTCTCCAACCATGGGTTCTTGGACAGATTTATAGTACCAGGCATCTTTCCTCCTGTGAAACGGGCCTTAAATCCAATCATAAAGCAATGTGTTACCCCCATAACATCCATGCCACTATTGCGTCCATGGGTCTATCTTGACACAATGAGTCATTATTTTGGTTCACGGGGCTCGTAGCTGGGTAAGACAGTTGATGACTTTCCCCACAGCGATCTGCATAGCGCCTTCCAATACTCTGAAAAAAACATGCAGAGAAGCCTCCTAGTCAGTACCTGCTTGATTCCTCTGTAACTTGTGAGCAAAGTATATGGTGTTTTCAACAATAGGGTCATACCATCAAATTCTAATACACTACAATAGCCTGTAGTGTTTTGGGGGGGGGGGGGGATCTCCAGGACAGCTCTAAATGAAGTTTCAAGGGGTGGTATCCCACTGGATGTACTGAAATTTTTAGTTCAAAAAACATTTTTACTGAGACTGTGATTTCTTTCATCCACTCAGTATGCATTGATACACAGTTTTGGGTAACAGTGGAGGCAAGACTACCTTCAGGAAGCTAACAGTCGATGAGGTATCTAAGGTAATAACAGCTGTCTTTAGGAGCAAACTTTGTGTTCCAGGAAGAGTTGTTCAGAACAGCTGATATTGATTTAGAATGAGTCCATATGCAGAATTTCCAAGTCCAGTCTGAAACAAGCTTGCTCATATTCTATTAACAGTCTATTATTAGACAGATCGTTAAACGGAAGTAGGCCATGACAGCAAGCACTAGGCCAACAAAGGCATTTCTCTATCTTCTCCGAGCCCTGCTACTTCCGTGGAATGCCATCCTTGAACCCAAAGCATGGGGCTCACATGGGAACTCATTGGCAATGCAGAATTTCATGCCCTACTATAAATTTCCTGGATGAAAATCTGCATTTTTAATAAGTCCTTGTGTGACTTGAGTTTACATTAAAGTTGGAAAGGAATTAAACATCCTCAGAGAACCCTTAGTAACAGCTTGATAGACCTGCTTTGGGTAGGAGATGAGGAATCGTTAACAAGGAGGTTATATCAGGCTCTAAGCCACAGAACAGTGGCCAACTTATGACTTACGCTTGCACCACATGTTAGGAGAAGCAAGCCAAGTTAAACTGCTTTTCTTAAAATTTAAAAATAACTTTTTTAAAAAGCTAGTCTTTAATAGCTCTTCCATTTCCCTCACTTCCTCGTATCTCAAGTAACTTAACCATCTAAGCAAATCCCTTAGGAGGTGAAAGAGGAAAATGAAAATGATTATATTAATAAAAGCAACAGTTGCCATTAATTGAGTGACAATTCTGCCAGGCACCACGCCAAGCCCTTTTTATATTCAGAACAGCCCTCCTGGGTAGGTCTTTAACTCCATTTTGTAGATGAAACAACTAAAGCTAAGATCGATATCATGACTTACTCAACTGCCCGTAGGCGATCACTGAACTGTGATTGAACTAGGGCTGTAGATGCCCAATACCTGTTTGTCTGCCACCCTGACTCTGGCTACTCTAATCCTGTCCCCGGGAAACCTGGAATTTCTGCTGTCAAGCATGGTGGTGAAACTGGCCTTTTTTCCTGACTTGCTACCTGTAGCTTTAGTCTCTTTGGGTTGAGAATGTAGCTTTAATAATTGTAATAACCGCTACCATGAATATTCCACTTTAGGGTTCTGTCTACCTTATCTGATTCTACAGTTACAAAGACTGACCCTAAGACCCAGATAGTTATTCTTAGATTACCACTGAGCCTATGTAACCCAAATTCAAATACGGATCATATGACCCAAAGCTCTTAGTCTATATAGAATGCTACCCCTGTACTTATCAGTTGTAAGTCTTTAGGGGTGAAGAAAGGGAAAATGGTCTTTCCAGTTGGCATGCCTGCTTCACAAAAAGGAAATGGTGTTTCTTCCCACATGACTGAGTTCCTTGATAACAGAGAATGAATCTTATCCCTTTTCTCAGAACAAGCACAGGGACTACCGTGTAATCATAAGTAAACATTGACTGAGTAAGTAGTCATAGGCAAATTTCATATTCCTGTGTTTGAGTGAAGGTAAATGAATACAAAATAATTGGGGCTGTCTACTGACCACTGCAAATGTCTCTTCCTTTTCCTCCAGTACAGACTGCATGGTCCCTCCAGTGTGCTAATTTAGAAATCACTCATATAACCCATCCTTGTCATATTAAACTTCATCTTGGTGTGTTCCTTGGGAGCTGCCATACCCAAATACTGCAGCCTGAAGTGATCTCAGCAACAGAAATCCCTCTTCCCACTCTACTAGATGGTACATGTCCCAGTTCAAGGTTCTGGCTAGCACAGTTCCTGACGTGTGCTCTCTTCCTGGCTTGCATCTGTCTGCCTCTTTCTGTGTCTCCACATGGTCTGTCCTTAGTGGATTTGAAGAGAGAGCAAAAGAACTCTGGTCTCTCCTTAGGAAAACACTGCTTATTAGTATTGCATCCAGACTCTTGGACCTACATAATTTATCCCACTATGTCTTCGTGTAGATTAGTCATTGATTTTATTCAACAAGTAATTACTATGTGCTGGGGGTATAGACATTGTAAAGAACACGCCAATGAAACTGCTTGTCTGCATGAGGCTTCAACTCTATTGGAAGAAGAGATAGACATTAAACAAGTAAGGCTGAGACTCCTAGCGGAAGTGTGGTGCTGGTCCTGGCTTGGTACTATTAAGACCATTGCATTGTGATGCTTATTCGGCATCTATCACAAATGCTAAGTGTTAGCTGTGGTTAGCTATTACTCCTTTGTGAAAATGTCTCCTAAGAAGTTACGCTTCTTCAACTCATTGTTTCCTTACAGCCTGTCCTCTCTAGTGTCACTAAAATCCTCTCTAGGTTTTCATCCTCTGTTTCAAGCCCTTCAGCAGTTTCCATCATCCAGAGGATAAAGTCTAAGCAGAGATGGAGCTGTCAGTACCCTGGTGACCTGCTGTCTGACCACCTTTACGGTCCCAGCGCTCCCCACTCTCTGCCACAGCTTTAGGTGCCCTTGGCCTCGAATTCCATAACAGCACAGTGCTATGTCTTATC